ACACACATGCTATAAGGCAGAAATGAATGAGCATGAATTTATCTTGCTCATCATGCACCTGGGAGGCCTGGAGCCTCCTGAGTCTGCATTTATATTGAGGCTACATTGTACATCACCTATTGCTATGGGCTAGATTTTAAACTAGGAGCAAAGGACTAGAATTCATTAGTTTGATTCTGAATTTACATTTCCTTCAGGAAACACCAGCCCACTTGAAGGTATAGAGAACATTCTAAGTGTGCTTTCTCATGTGAACTTGCAGCCTTCATCACTCTTACACATATTTTTTTGCTGTTAACTGCCATCAAAGTCGGGGTTATATATGCCAATGCATTTCTCATTTCTATGTATGGTTATGAAAGCTGGACAATGAAAAAAGCTGTTAGGGAGAAAATCACATCTGAAGGAGGAAAGTTCTGTGGATACCATGGAGTGCTAAAAAAGACAAATAAATGGATCCTAGAGCATAAAATCATAGAATCTTAGAGTTGGAAAAGACCACACAGGCCATCCAGGCCAATCCTCTGTCATATAATATTATGAGGAGTCACGACTCACCAGAAAAGATAATAATTCTTGGAAAGTAGAAGACAGTAGGAAAAGTGGAAGACTGCATTTCAGATAGATAGATTCAATCAAGGAAGCCCCAGCCTTGAATCTGCAAGACCTGAGCAGGGCAGATGACAATAGAGTGACTTGGTGCAACTGGACCAAAAAAGCCAACAAGATGATAGTGGTAAAATGTCCTCTATATAACATGGTATGGGCCTTGTTTTGCCTGTAAAATCACCAAAATATGCATAGCCTAGCTGACATATCTTATGGCCAGAACTCTTAAATATTACATTTAAGGATGGCAAATCCTTCAGTCAGCAAAGCTGGATGATGTGACAGGAAATGCACCATCCTGGCTTATATCACCCCTGAACCAGCTAGTATGTACATCTACCAGATCTTGGGAGAATAGGGTCTTTTTTTAAAAAAAAAAAACTACAACTTCCAGAATCCACCAGCTATCGTCGTTGCTAGTTATGCTGTCCAAGGTGGAGGGAATCTGGGAGCTATAGCCCAACATGACTTTTCCAGGTTCTGAGTATGGCTTGGCAGGTATTGGATAAGCTCCAAATTTTCTGCTCAACACACATGCACACATGCACTACTGTTCCAAATTCTGAAAACCCATTTTCTGCCCAGAAGACTCATGTGCATTCTTTGCACAAAGGATTTGTCTCAAAAATATATTCTGAAGTCACCCTGCTTACCGAGAACTGTGCAGAATCACTTGTATTCTCATGCAGAAAGGAGAAAACCACAGAAATTATTAGTTCTTGCATCCCTAGTCACTATTGATTGAACAAATAAGACAGGAGTAAATTGAGGGTGTGTAACTCTACTTCTACTGGATTGTATCATACACGCTGAATTGCCTTTTTCTCACCTCCTGTATATGCCACACACATATGTTGATCAGGGTGATAGTGAAATTATGGGCCTCGGCAGACGGCTAATTGAGCCGTCTTCCGGGCCCGGAAGAGGAGGGGCAGCCACACGAGCGGCGCCCCTTCCTCTTCCTGAGGTCGTCCTCGGAGTCGCCAGCCGTTTGCACGGCCGGCGCTCCGGGGATGACCTCACGCCGCGGTGACCAGATGCGCTGCGGCGTTTGAGTCAGGGAAAGTGCACCCGCTGCTTTTAGGGCGCACTTTCCCTGACATCTAAAAGGAGCGCCAATTTGGTGATCCTTTTAGAGTGGCCGGAGGAGCACCGCGGTGCAGAGGCTGAGCTCCGCCGGCGCTCTGGACCAGGGGTCTGCATCCCCCCAATATTTCAAGAGTGGCAATGAGGCAGATTCCTCCATCACAACTGATGGTAGCAAGTTACTTTAGGAGGCACAATATAGGGTATCACTATTGCCATACTTCAAATAGGGGTTATGCAGACGGGCAGGAAAAGGTGACCTGAAGCTGACTTTTCCCTAAGCTGCAGCAACCCGCACTGCCTGCCCTGAGGTTGTCCTAAATGGGGAAGGAGCAACCACACTGGGGGGAGTCAATGCAGCTTTTCCAAGGCTGTATTGAAGCCCCAACAACCGCACCGCCATAATCACTACCTCCCATATTCAGACTTACATGAATAATAAGCCCTATTTTCAGATCAACTGATGCAATTTAGATAAGGGAAACATTTTAAAAATAACAAATTCAGCCACTTTTTGAAAAACTGGAAAACAAATCCACAATGACAAGATCTGCTTTGTATGTGTCATCAACATCGAGACCTGCTGTTGCAAAAGCCCCGGTGAGATCTAATCCACAAACTTGTTTATCTGAGTGTGAACAAAGATGACAGATTCCAGACAACACCGGTACACAACAGCATTTCAATTAGCCTCTGTAACATTAACAAGGATGTGCTGATCGTATTCACTAAATGTTTCCATATCTCCAGTGATGCTAATTGAAACTAATCAGTTTTAGGATGCTGAACACAAAGGAAAGGAACACTAGTTAAAAGGAGACAATAGATCTGACTTGCTTTCGGCCTCATGTACATGGAAACAAGAGATCTAAGTAAACTCTATAGCAGAGATGTAAATTATGGGGGCCTCCAGAATGTGTTGAACTATAAGTCTGAGCACCCTTAACCAGATTAATCTATGATGAGTCCAAAAACATCTGAAGGGTTACATGATTTGCATCCATGCTTTAGAGGTTCCCAGTGCTTCTTCAGCTAGAAGATATGGGCTAACATATCCTGATTTCTTGTCATTCCTGCAGACATGAATACATGTTTACCTATTCACTAGCTTACAAAGACCAGAGATATCAGAATATGTACTTTGAAATTTTCTCAGTACAATCTTTGCACATTGGGTTTTCTACACCTGCTACTCTAGGTAACATCCTTCCAGAGTCTGGTGCTTTTGTGACAATATATGATTTATGTACCAGCTTGCGTATTGGGATGCAGTGGCTTAGTGGTTAAGACACCAATTCTGATGATCATAAGGTTGGAAGATTGGCAGTTCAAGGCCCAAGTGCTGCATGATGGGGTGAGCTCCTGTTAGTCCTAGCTTCTGCCAACCTAGCATTTCGAAAGCATACAAATGCAAGTAGATAAATAGGTACCACTTTGGTGCGAAGGCAACAATATTCTGTGCTGTCATGATGACCACATTACCATGGACAACGCTGGCTCTTTGGCTTAGTAACGGAGCTGAGCACCGCTCTCTACAGTCAGTTACAACTAGACATTCATGTCAAGGGAAAACCTTTAGCTTTACCTTACCAGCTTGCATATCTATACTGCACTATATTAAGTTAGATCAGGGGTAGGCAACCTTTCCCCTTTAAGGGCCAAGGG